TGTACCGAGGTACACCCATGTTACACCTGTCCTCCGCGAGCTGCACTGGCTACCAATTGGTCTCCGGACGCAACCTGCGAGACCGCCTACTGCCACATACCTTCCAACGGGCGATAAGATCCCACAGATTGGGCCTCCTTTGGTTGCCGTCAGCCAATCAGTGTCGGTTGGCGGGCCCCCGGAGAAGAGCCTTCTCTGTAGCTGCTACGACCCTTTGGAATGAGCTACCCCCAGAGGTCCGGACCTTGCCCACTCTCATGGCCTTCAGGAAAGCTGTTCATACCTGGCTGTTCCGGCAGGCCTGGGGCTGTTGACCTTATTGTTAAGGTCCAGCCTCGATTAGAACGAATGCGTGTTGTGAATTTTAAACTATTCTTTTTATTTTTATTTTTTTCTTCCTTCTTTGTAAGCCACCCGGAGTCCTTCGGGATTGGGCGGCCTATAAATTTAATAAATAAATAAATAAATGAAGTGATACTTAGAACCAGTCCTCGTAGTTGCGGCCATTGCAGCATCCCCTTTGCTATATGATTGCAATCTGGGTGCTTTGTAACTGGCTCACAGTTACATTGCAGCATCCCACAGTAAAAGGATCATTATTTGTGACCATCACTGCTGGGTTTTGAGAAAAAAAGTCAGTGGGGCAGCCGGCAGGAGGTTATAAATGGTGTTCACAGGATGTCACACTTAGTGACATCATGAGATTTGTTTAACGAAGGCAATTGGAAGGGCCAGAACTGCCATTGCTACGCTATGTGGTTAGATGATATTGAGCTTTACGTTGCCTAATAACTAGTTTAGTTCCAGTTGTCATTGTTACAGTAATTGAGATCTATCTTTCTTCTAAATACAAAAAGGCCAGTGCCTTTTCATTCCTGTCTGAGAAAATGACATGGTGACTACAATGTCATAAAAGTGCCAGAATCGCTCATTCTACTACGAGGGAAGGTTAGTGACCAGGGAACATAAGTGCCTGAAGGATTTGATTTATATAGAAGTTAAAAAGTAAGAGGGCTACTATGTAACCTTCCTTTAACCTCTGTAAGTTGGAACTGCTTCAGAAAGATGGACATGTAAGGTAGCTGGATGACTTTGGGCCACTTTCTCAACCCAACCTATTTCATAGTGTAGTTATTATGGACAAAATAGAAGGCAGCAGTATTAGGAACATCCACGACCTTTAGTTATAATTTAAAAAAAGATAAAATATAATAACACCAAACTCTCAAGAGAGGAGTTAGCGAGACTGGATAAGTAGAAGCAGCTTTTTGCCAATGGTGTATCGCCTTAATCTTTCCACAGTTTCTCTACCCCTTGGAATAAATTCAAGAGCTGACTTTTGCAACTAAGGTTGCAAAACAGGGAACATTGGGCAGCCGTGGGGAGTGGGGGAGAAGCAAAGTATTTTTCAGCCAAATGGTGAAGGACAAGACCATAGTCCAGAGCTGGTCCAGTTACTTTCTAAAACCAGCCTGCTCCTCAGAAATAACATTGCTTTGAACACACCCCAGTCGTTTGAATATAGAAACCAGGCATATGGTCTACTTATTGCATTGCGAAATAATAGGCTTGTAATTTATTGGGACTAGTCTATGTACTTTTATTGAATGGAATAATAGCTTGGTTCCAGTCATATGAAAATAGCCTGAAATATTAATGAGTAAACAAAGCAGCCATATTCTCCCTTACAAGTTCTGTGAGAATGAAAGAGCGAGCGGGAGGGAGGCGAGAGAGAGACAGAGATAATGCATTGTCTCTATCTAAAGTTTGTGTCCCTACACAGTGCTAATTTGACTTGATCTAAAGCCAACCTTAATGCCATCAGCTGTCTTCAAAGCTGGCAGTGAGAAATGGGAGTGAAAAAATGTTATTTTCTCAGTTTAGGTCTCTATTACTTGTATCGGAATTGTGTGAAAATGCTGTTAATTTCCTTTATCTTTATGATTTATAGAAAAATGCCAGATTATCTATGAACCCAAACAAATTGAAGAATCTCCAAGAAAAGCACAAGTAGATCCATTGGCTGTCAAGGGAACAAAGTTTGATGTTCAAGCAAAGCTAAAACCAAAGAAATCACCTTACATTCAATCCAACAAACTCCAAAAATCTCAACGAATAACTAAAATCCGCAATTACAATATAAAGGACTGAGATTTCACTGAACTATTACATTTTCTTTGTATAGTATGCTGAGATTCTTTGTTTTCATTAAAGATACAAAATAGTTTAAATATTAGTCTTTCAGCTGCATTGATATCACTAATCTCATATTATTGCATATCAAAAATGCTCATTTTTCTTTTTCTGCATTGAATAAAATGTAAAAGTCTACCCAAAATACTGTGTTTTCTTTAACCATGGTTGCTCATAACCATAAATGCTAAAGTTCACTTGACAGCACCTATCTACACAATGATGGACAATTGCTCCTCCATCATTATACAATAGTTGTGAACATGGACTCTACTCAGTATCTGATTTCAGCCATCTTCACTGGGTAGCTCTCTTTATTTGGCCACTACATCCAGAAAATGTGTTATAAAGGTTTTGTGTCATAGGACAACACATATTCTATTGGTATTTACTGGGTTTGTACATCTCCGCATTCCACAGACTAATTACCTATAGTGTTCTCTGAGACAGGCCACATGGCCTTTGAGTGGCATGCCAAGGGCTGCACTTCAAAGGAAACAAGTACTTCACCTTTATTGAAACATCATAAACATTAATGAAACAGTTTGTATTATTATTCCTATGTATTTAATAGCCATGCTTTCACTTTAAAAATTACAAGGTTTCTGAGGGTTATGTTTTCATGTGTGTGAGGCTGTTGTAAACTCCGACGCCTCAGATGAAGGATTAGGGGCCTAGAGCAGTGTTTTCTCTTGTTCTCAGGCCTACTTTCCACTTAAAATTGATACATTCACTACTACTTCTCACAACTGTATTGCCTATATTCTTCCACGCAGCAGGAATAAAATCCCTGGAGTTGGAGTGAAGCGATCTGGAGTCCACTAGAAAGACTGAACGGTAGTAACCCGGGAAGCTCGTACTCTTCCGAGGTGAATGACCTGAAATAAGCCACAATTCAAAAGCTCTTCTTGCATCACCAACAGCTTCATTTCCTAAACAGACCCGTCCCCCTAAATTCAGTCACCATATCACCCTATCTCCTAGCAACACCCACACAGCCTCTGGGATTGGTGGAAGGGCAACCACGCCTACATCTCTCGGCTTTCGGATTGGGCGCTCCTATCAATGACCCAAGGTCTCGAAAGAAATGTGTTCTTTTGTGTACTTCATTTTAGCCGGGTTTGAGAGAACTCGGTCAGAGTGTAGCAAGACAAGCAGCGCGACTAGCGTTGATTTCCTAGGCCGCCAGCCGTTTCCTCAGAGAAGAGCGCCTGTGGCCAATTAGACTCGTCTGGCAGAGTGCTGGGTCGAAAGTCTAAAGGGATAAACTTGCCTAATTAATATTTTTTCCCTTTGCCGAAGAAGGACTGGCTGGGAAAAGGAATTCATTATGCTTGTCTCCCAGGCTTCACTAGACTATGTATACACGCAGCTACTCCGTGATTCCTAAAACAAGGTTACATCTCCCACCCGTCCATCTTTCCCTTGAGGCTGGGGAAAATGAATTCAAGTGCATCCCGTACCACACTTCTCACAGCCGCCTATGAGCAAGCCTCCTTTCTAGACAGCAAGCGGGCTTCCCTTTCCGCCGTCGCCGCCACCCCATTGCAGCCGCCGGCACCAGGTGGCTCTCGAGAAAGCATCAGGCAACCTTCTCGAAGTGGGCCGAGAGGAAAAAGCGCGAATCTCAGGGCTCGCCTAGCGAAGTCCGTGGGTGGCGCTGCTGAATCCACTCCACTGAGAGACAGTGGTCGTAACTTTATTCGCCATGTCCACGTTAAGATTGGCAAAAGTTTCGTGGAGTGGGTGGGTGGAAGATATGTGTGAGGAGGGTGAAGTAAATGCGGTTGTAAAGATACTCGGAGGATGGCGAATATTCTGTAGTGGTTAGCGTTTAAACACACACACAAACACACTCTTACACTTCAACATCCACAAAACTCTCAGTGACTTCACGGCCAGCCCGGCTTTTTTTTTAGCCTTCCCTACCGAGGGAAAGAAGCAGACCGCCTTGAGCTCCCGAGGGCAAAGACGGATATCTAAACAAAATCTATCCATCACTATCACGGGTCTCGAATAATCCTTTCCTCTTCTCGGACTAAAATCCACGCAGTGACGTTGTGTATGTGCTCCCCCCCTTCCCTTCGCCGACATTTTGTAGGGCCAGGGCTTTGCGAGGCCTCGGTATGGACGACGACGTGTGTTCTTCAGGGCGCTGCTCTTGGCTTCTCTTCCTCCCCATCGGTGATCGCGAGAAGCTCCCGTGAGCCAGGGCCTGGCATCGCCCCAGGATCTGCTCCGGGAGGCCCAGCGCCGGCTCTCATTGGACTGAAGGAAAAAAGCAAACTGTCAGCCCATGTGGCGTGGCCACCGGAGGTGGTGGCTGTTTAAATAGGCGCCGGGAGCTAGAGGGAGACAGTGAGAAAGAAACGGAGAGCGCACAGAGCTCAGTGTGAGCCAAAGCACCGGGAACGAAAGAGGCAAATTAGCCGAGAGACCTGCGTGCCTGCTTAGCAGTCGGATAAGCGCGCCGCCTCCGCCAACCAGCTTTCAGCAGCTGCCGCATCGCTTGTCTCAGCACCGACCTGCCGCCTGGCCGACCTCAGGGACCTGAGCAGGTAACCGGTTTAGCGCTGCTTGAAAAAAGGCATCCAAAACTTGGAATGGCGTGAATGAAAAGAAACTGAGGGAAGCTAAAATGGAGCCTGCGGCTGGAATGGCGTTCGCGGGTAGGGGGGACACGCAGGGCCCGAGTTATCCTTGGAGGAGGAGGGGTGGGGGTGTATCCCACCAATTGGGGCGAGGAGAGGATGGAGGCATTGTTAGAAGGGCTTCAAATCCGTTCCCTCCGTCGCCGAGGAGAGGCCCTTTTCTTGCCAAGCCAACCATTTTCCTCGCTCTCGCCTCCTGCGTGGGGAGGGGAAACCGGTATTGGAGAGACACCACATCGCTTAGTGTGTTCAATTTTCCCAGCCTCCTTATGCAAAGTGGGTTGTGTAAGCCTGGGGAATGGCTGAAACGCATCTCTTTTGAATGGAAGTTGTGCTGATTTGGGGCGACATCAATCTCAGGTGCCTGCTGAGAGGCAGCGAAAGATTGGGTGCGTGCGGCGCGTCGAGGCCTTGGAGGCGCAGGAAAGTCTGTAATTATACAATGAGCTTGCCTCACAAAATGCCTTTTAGAACAAAGACAGTTGAACTTAAAGCGATGCCAGTTTGGCTTGGCTCATTGGAAACGAGGCTGTGGTTTGACCATGTCCCTTCAGGAATCTTGTCTTCCATAAAATGACATGGATAAATTCTGGATAGGTTGTCATTTGGTCATTTTGTAGTAGTATGCCAATAGATTAAAATTAAGAGGGGGTTTCTGGGATTGTTGAATAAGGGGGAGGGGTGTTTCATGAGGGGAGAACTAAGCCTTTCTGCATTGGAAGTGCTCTGCATCCAGCCATTTTGGTATCAAGCAGGGAAAGCAAGATACGCTGACGTACTAATATTTACCGGTATTTCTAAAGCCCTAAAGGGAAATCTCTGGCTCTTATCATCTCCATACAATAGTATGCAGAAAGAGCTAAGAGCTGAAATGCAAAAACTCAATGTTGCGAATATCCTGTGACTTTTCTGTGAGGGATTTTGGAGATGGGATAATCTTCTTTGTTACTCATAACCTTAATTTGCTTCTTCTCAGGAAGATAATGACAAATAAGATAGTTCTGTTTGATACAGAAGGAAATCTTTTTGCTACTGGACAAAATATGTAACTTACTGTTCTCTATTATAATATATCTAGTATCCTCCAACTCCTCATCATCTTTGCTCCATTGATGTTGAAAGCCTACATTTGTATTAATGATGCAAACATGATTTGACATTCAAAATTGTAACTACATAATTTTATTAATGCTTTCTAATAAAGTTGGTGAAATACAGTTCACACATTTATCAAGTAACAAATGCATGCAACACTGAAACTTTTAGGCACATGTTTTATTTTAAACAGCAGGGTAATAGATCGCAAATTCCCATTTATTATATTTTTCTTGACCTGTAAATACATTACGTTTTTAAGTATTATTGACTTATTAAAAGTTTTTAAAAATAATTCTGAAGTGAATTACAACATTCAACAGCGTAAAACTGTTATTTAGAATAATCTGAAAGCATTTTTAAAGCAGCCTTTTCAAATATTGAACTGTTTACATCTTCTGGACATTAGCACTCTAAATTTGAGGACCAGTCCAACTCTTTGGTATGTTAACTGGGAATGATGGAAACTATAGCTCCATCACTAGCTAAGACCTGCAGATTGGAGAAAGCTGCTTTAAAGCTACAGGAAGTAAGAATAAAATTGTAATAGTATCATAAGTTCCTTTTTTCCATTAAAGCCAGTGGAAACAAAGAACTTTAATTTCCTAGTCTACAAACAATTCATTCAGTGATGGCCCTAAATTAAAATGCAATTTTGTTGACTTCAGCAGTACTAATCTGTTTGCAACAGTAGGTATTTTTTTTAAAGTGGTTTTCCTTAATTGTTTGCATTTTATTTACCCTTAGTTGAAATCCATGCCACACATTACTAGTTCAGTGGTGTACAATAAGAATTGCTTCTAAGTAGATATAGGCCGCACAGTAACAGGCCAGCTCTGGATTAGTAAACTTAGAAACAAGTCTTACTCAGTTCAGTGAGTTTATCCATAAGAAATTTGTTTAGGGTTACAGTACTAGGGTCTACTGGTAACCACAAGTAACCAGGAAGAGAAGTAATCTATATTCAGTGAGTTTTCTCACAAATTGAGGAACTAGAACAAGTTGCATATCATAATAGTACTTCAGTTTTCTGGAAATACAAGTTTATTAATGGAAATACTGGTACACTTAACAAAAATGATATAGATAGATTGGTATATAAAATCTGGGTTGAACAATCTTCTGAATTTCTGAAGTAGGCATGCTAGCAAGAGATTTGAAATATATCAGTGCAGATGTCATGGCCAATTTCAAAACAGATTTGAAATATATTTGAACATATTTAGATGTCACACTAAACAATAGTTTTTATTATAAACCAATTGATAATGTCATTTAAACTATAGTTTGCTTAAAAGAATCCACCTTCATTATTCAACAGATAGTCCTGATGATTGTTTAACAAACTTTTAACAAACTGTTCAAATTAATCACAGCTGAGAAGGTGAATGGCTTGTTGAAGTTTGAAAATTCTGCCTCAGAGTTGTAAAATGGGGGAGAGGACAAAGGCCTGTTTAAGAGGCAAATGGATATTTGGGGTCCAGTTGTTTTCTGTGCGGTCTTTAAATTCTCCTGGACAGCAGAATATTCCAAATTAGAATGCCAATTCCTTTGGAACTGGGCAACATGCACTGCTGACTGTGATATACTGTCTATCTTGTATCCATTAAACTGGTCAGAAGCCTTTGGTATGATTTCCTTTTTTAAATTTTTCAGATATATTGCTCAGGCCATTCTAAGACACAATACACTGGACTAGATTATTTTTGTCTAAATCAACAGGCTCTTCCTAGAATGATAATTATTTATAAAGAAATAAGGTTGAAAAGCCTTAAATTATAAGTGGAATTTCTGCAAGGATGGGACTTTGTATTTCATTTTGGCCAGCAAAGTATTTGGGGTCATGATCAGAGGAATTCACAACAATTTCTAGATAATTTAGTATAGTCATCAATTTAAGGAAAAGAAGTAATATATTTTACTTGCAGAAGTGAAAGAAATGTACACTGGGAAAAATTAAAAAATCCCAAAGGATACATTCACAGGTATTTTATATTATACAAGGACAGCCCATGGCCCTTTAATATATGTTTGCTTTGGCAAAGGTAAATATGAAGAATATCTGAATGTAATTTTCACCAAAGTGGTATTTCTCAGAGGTATTGGGACATTACCTTTCCAACATTTCTTTCATTTGATTGATGACAGTGTTGGAGCAACACCTGGTTTGTTCAGGGAGCATCCCAAATGGTCCGAAACTGCTCTGATGTATAAAACTGGCAATCCATTCTTCATCAAAATATGAATCCTTAGATTTATAATGACTAATTTTTCAAGTACATATTTGTAATCCTGTCCTGAGTAGCTTGGATAATTAATGTCTACTTTCTTTACTACATTCTTCGTCTATTGTCCCTATTTCTTGTGTTTACTTAAGCACAATGTTCACCTGTATTATGCATGGGCTATCTTTGCTCTGCTTTTTGTCTTCTCTACTATCCTATCTATAAGTGGTTTATTTCAAATCTAGGCTGGCTAAGATATTGAGTTGTCAAAGGCAAAACAGTCAGTGACTTACTTCATTTCCACAAATCAAGATAACGTCTGAACCCAGGACTTTTTAAAAAAGGATTTTTATTTTGAATTAATGGTACATACTACTATTCCTACCTCCTCCACCACCCCCAATTTGCCACACCTATAGAAGCATATTCTTGCTTTCTATTGCTATAGTTCTCTTTCTTCTATCATTTTATGTTCTGGCAATTTTTGGGGATTGAAATTGCTTAATAATCTGTTTCAATTGGTATACTAGCTGATTAAGTAGAAGTGACATGGAGTCTACTATATATGTAGTGTTGCTTTGCTCTTGAAGCAAGCAATTCTGCTCCACTTGAGCTGCTGTCTCCTGCCTCCTTTCTTTTCCTTCAATAAGTTATAGCCAAATTCATTAGCCCCCACAGAGATTAGAGCTCTGTTATCAAAGAGCATTCATAATCTGTGAGAAATTAATCCACTGTCTGGAATTGCTTTGAACAATTAGTTCAATTCAAACTATTTACTAAGCCACAATCCATAATTGTAGCACATTGTATAAACACATCTATGAGGTCTTTTTTTGATATGTTTAGGTATCTTGTGTTAACATTGCCAGATTATCTATCGTGTTTCCTCGAAAATAAAACCCAACTGGAAAATAAGTCCTAGCATGATTTTTCAGGATGATCATAATATAAGCCCTACCCTCCAAAATAAGCCCCAGTTAAGATTATCAGCCAGACAGACTCATTTAGTACTGTATTTCCCCCAAATAAGACCTAAGTGGAAAATAAGACCTAGTGTGTCTTTTGGAGCAATAATTAATATAAGACCCGGTCTCATTTTTGGGGAAGCATGGGTATATTTTACTATATGTTTGAGAAAGCAGTGATTGGCTCAGAAGCATCATTACCTGTTGTAGGCCTCTGTGACCTGCTCAAGGAAGGTAAAACAAGGGCAAGAAAAGTTTTAGAGCCTGGTAACACACATGGCCTTCCTGATTTGCTAATATAATACCTAATTTCACCTAATAATAGGGCTGACCAGATTTCATAGTTCTGGATTCTGCTCCACCCAGAATCTTAATTCAATTGTTGCATCATTCTGTTATAATTAAATTCCAGTCACAACGGGATTGGCAATATATCTTTGGTAACTTAAGTGTTATACTCTGGAAAAGCCAAATACGTGGTCTCCCTGAATTGAAATTCATTAAGAAGGCTTTGGGATTATATAGCCTTTTCTGAAGAGGAATTATACGTAGTCCTCAATGATCACAATTGAGCCCAAAATTTCTATTGCTAAGTGAGACATTTGTTAAATGAATTTTGCCC